CGAAGCCCCATCCGACATTTTTGCAAAGGAAATTGTTGTTCAGAATCATCTCAGCTACCCCCTATTTCCGGCTCCTCCCCGAGTTTTGGGACCCCCTGTATATCTATGAAATTAGATTGTCTATATAAACACGACCACATGAAATAATTGAGTGCAACTCGCGAAAGAAACTTTCGGTACAACCTAATATTCATCGATAATACAGATTCGGTGCATCGCTAGCAACGATTAGTGCGATTTTATTCCGTGGTATGCATTTTCGCCAACTGTAGCAGCACCGGTTACGTAACAGTCGTTGCCAGTATTGTTCGTTTGAAAGCTCATCCTTGGCGGACACGCCAGAGAAGGGGAGAGAAGAGGTTGGAATATTCTTGCATTTCGAAGAGCTTCTTTGATTCTCCATTGTTCCGTGTTTCTTGCCTCGGAGTCTGGAGATTTAAGAGAAGCCCAGTCGCACCGGTAAATTGTCACGATGCGTCCACCGTCGCTGCCTTTAGATCTTTCGAAGGGATTTCGGAACGAGGTTGTCTTGCGATGCAGTCTTATGCGCACTGGACCGGTTTCTGTTCCACGATGCTGCACTCGGTTCGACCGACTCCCTCGGAGACTGTTCTTGAATATAACGCGTGCGCATTCTTTGTTACATTGTTCTGTAAATAAAGAGCGTCTCGAGTAATCAACGTTTCGCCCGTCTTTTCGTGGAAATGATCGAAGAGAGAAAGGCCCACTTAGGATCGACGTCACTCATCGCGTCCGAAACTAGTTTGACCACGGCGTATATTTTTAGCTGCCACGACGGAACACACGTTCATCTTTTTTTTTCTGTAGTTTCCTATGCAGTAGTAGCCGTTCCTCCCCTTTTTTTATGGAGTAACCCTACCGACGCTCGGGTTTCACCTCTCGGTTTATTGAATCGAGAAACTTCTCTGTAACGATTTTTCGTCTCCCTCTCGCCCCGAAAAAAAAGTACAAACGAGGGCTGTGTATATACAGGCCATTTTTCAAGTAACGCACCTCGTGCATGCAGTCCGGCGTTATCGACGACGGGAACGTGTACGTGTAAAACACCTTTAAAGTGCAATCGTTGGTTCGTTGACTCTGCATCGCTTCCGTAAGCAAAGCGTTTCAGCCGAAACACAGTTCCCATGTGCGCGACAGGCGAGGAGAGCTCTGATCGCGACGCACTCGGCTATTCCCGAAACTACGAACTTCTTTAACGGCAGAGCGTTTTACCGCTGTCGATAACGTGAAATAAAGGAACGATATAAAAAGTAGCAAGCATGTAAATACTGCAAAGTTGTAAATTGCCACTCGATTGCCGCCAGATAGGAATAAAACGAAATCTCATTTTATTTGAACAACATACAGATCTCCTTTTTCCATTGATTAGAATTTATGCATTCTGTTTAATTATTCATTAACAGATAGTTGTGTAATTGTACCCTAATATGCATCAGGAATAGAACAAAATATGTCGTTTCCGCCTTGACCTTACGCACGTTCCACCGCGCCTTAACGAGCTCGAACCAGCTATACAATTTATATTCCGAACAGGGAAAGGATCGAATCGTAACGGAACGCGTAGCATATTACGATTCTCCGTGCGCGTTCTTTCTCTACGCTTCGGTATTAAACCGCCGCGTAGGAAATTTTTTATTCCTTTTGTTTCGAGCTCGTCTAGCCACCAGAGCGTCTCTCTTTGACGCCACGGAATGCAACGAGATCGCAGAAAGCCTCTTCGCTCGCGCTTCACACGCGAATACTTTTGCCACAGAGTACTCTTACAGCGGCAACATTTTGGCGTTTTTCTGATCTCGATTACTATCTCAGACTTGAACGAAACCGTAGCCTTCGACTAACCCGGAGTTTTTTTTTATATGTTTCTCTTGTTTCCTTAGAAAATATCTAAAAAAAAAAAGGCAAATTAGTCGAAGCCTAAGGTTTTGCCCAACTTTAATTTGCATACGTTTTTTGAAGACTATCATAAACGTAGCTATAATGCCTTGGCAATATCGGTGGTAAAATAATTAGGGACGAGTTTCAAGCTACGAGCATTGAAACAATACGTTGAAATTGTGTTGGCAAGGGAAATAGGTATAGAACTTTTCCTTATCGATCGAAAAGTTCCAGAAGCACCAGTGTAGCATTCGAATTTAAATTCCACTCGGTGGTGGCGGTTGTACTATATTCATCTTCGTTCATCTATACCCCATTCTCTGTTTCGTGCTAGTTATGTACGACGACTTGTCGAGCACATTGTGGCTTGTATTTAGTACTTCGAACAGTGGCCACTTCCGGCCGGAAAGTTCATAAGACACTGCACCACTCGAACCTTACCATAGCTCGTTGTTGCTATATGCAAAGCATATCGATCACGAGCAAACAAGCGATACGGCGCATCTTTGCCCTGTTTGTGTTTTCGCGCACGTTTGTTGATCTTTTCGGACGATACCGTTCCTTTACATACAGAATAAAAAGTGAAGGTGTAATCTATACCTGACATACCTTTGCTTACGTTTGTTTAGCGGTATTTTGTTGGTTAGGTGAACATTAATTACGATACAATGCTCGAGGTATCGTAAAATATTAAGTAAAAAGTTTAGAACTCTTCGAGTTATGCTGCTTTGGAGGACCCTGTACAAGAGGGTACAACGATCGTAATTCCGCGCAGTTGGATCAATGATCGCCAAGCTACTAGGTTAAAGTTATAATGGTCTAGAAACAATTGCATAGGCGCGGGAATGCAAACGAACAGCACTTGGTTTGCCGCGAAGCAAAGCAGAGAGCAAACGTTATTCTCTTTTGATTCCGAGGGGCGAAACGCGGGGGATCGAATGCGCCATTTACATATCCGCAATACAGACTGCACGCGAGATTCAGCGATATTATCTTTGCGTGTCAGCCGCGGTTATTGGCCCAGATGAATATTTTGTCGAATTCGGTAGGGTTTAATAAAGAACGGCCAGTCAGCTTTCATCCATACCGATGGATCAGGAAATATGTATCATATACAGTCAGGAACAACATGATAGGACGCCCTATAAATAACAATTTATACTTGTTGTATATATATATTAGTATATTTAGTATTAGTATATATTAGTATATATTAGCATTAGTATAGTATATTGTATGTACATGTATATACTAATGTATATGTACATATACATAATGTATATATACATGTATATATACATACTAATATATACTAATTGTAGATTAATAGGTATCCATCTATATATATATCCCTGATTGTATCAGCATTGCAACTTGGATTCAGCAGTCCAGATTGGGCTCAACATAATAAAAATAAGACTTCGCACGAAATAGCTTGAATTAAGTATTAATAAGCGTACGTGTGGCTGATTATTTTCAGATACAGACAAAGCGTGAGCTGTTCTTCAAAGGCGACAACACTGGAATAATATCATCGCCGTCTGTGCCGTCGGTACCGCCACCCCAACCGCCGTCACAGGCACCGTCGTCTGTGAGCAGCACGTCGTCGACGACGGCTACGACCACCACGACCCTCACCTCGCCTAACACAGCGCCACCAGCCTCCTCGACCGCCTACACCAGCGTCACGTCTTCGGCGCCTACCTCGAAGTCGCGATTACCTCCGTCTACGGTGATCCTGAACCAAAACGATGCGTCAGAGGACAGCAATAAACGGGAGTCCAATAGGACCACCGACACCAACAAAGAGGCCACTGTGCTGCACCATCCGCGGCCGACGCCGCCAACCAAGCCCAAAGAACTCGACGGATACGTCGGTTTCGCGAACCTACCCAACCAAGTTTACCGAAAGGCCGTCAAGAAGGGTTTCGATTTCACTCTCATGGTCGTCGGTTAGTCTGTTTGTTTTCGCAGCGAATCCAGCTGGTTCTGTACCCATTAACAAACCCTCCAACGTCTTCCACCTTCCTATCATATTTCTATCGACATAAGATAATGTAATATACAAATATTTCAATGTAAACGATACAGACAGGTTTCTCTAATTATCTCGATTAGTACGCTAATGGATTTAACCGATTCCCATACCTCAATTTGGAAAGAATGCGAGCACTAACAGAAAGGATTGCGTATGAAAATAATGACCCTTAGCGTGTGGAACGACCGACCCGTGTATTTCATTTGTTATGAGGTTCGTTCTCGTAAATGGGACTTGAAAAATGCGTACTATGACTTCCTACGTCTCCCCCCGTTAATGCCCATTGTGTAAATGGACGTACAATGAACGTTTTTTCTTTCTTTCTGAGCTTCCCGTGATCGAAAGACAAAGAGATCCGCTTTTCTCCGGTTGGTATTTCAATTTCGTCGAGGATATTGCCTTGTGAACTTCCATCTGTTTAACACGTGCGGTATACTTTTTTACCAGGCTGCATTAGGGCTGCGTTTAAGTAGTAAGGGTTCTCATTTGTGCTCCCTTCGATATTCTTAATTTAATCTTGTCTATTAGATCGTATTTAAAAAATGTTATGAATATATTGTAGATTTTATGTATTTATTTATTTACAATCGTTATTGTCTTGCAATAGTAAGCGCAATGGCGTGAAAGTTATCGCGGTAAACGTTCACCGAGAGGAAAGTTTGAAATTTGAGAATATAGGCGGAGTGCCGCTATTATTAGTACCGGTATAAACGGAGTCATTTCTCCGTAAATAGAGCAATTGAAACGCATATCCTTGAAAGAGAAGGCGCGGCACTTTGGCCAGTTCAAGGTACCCGACCAAAAGGTCAGGGTACCGTTTGGTATTTAGAAGTATCTTGGAATTACTAGAATAATAATTTTCGCCCATTACAGATCATTCCCTGGCTGCATTTTAATTTTTGTTCTTCAATATGTTCTTTTAGGGGAATCGGGATTGGGCAAATCGACTTTGATCAATTCAATGTTTCTTGCTGATATATACAGTGCTGAGTACCCTGGACCTAGCCTTAGAGTTAAGAAAACCGTAGCTGTAGAGACTAGCAAAGTGATGTTGAAGGAGAATGGGGTGAACCTTACTTTGACTGTAGTTGATACACCTGGTTTTGGTGATGCAGTCGACAACAGCAATTGGTAATTTTATTTATATGCCTACTTGTAACCAGGATCAAAAGCATGGATTTGTTAAGATATTCTTATTTCAGTTGGGTGCCAGTAATTGAGTATATCGAATCAAAATACGAGGAGTTCCTGAATGCCGAATCTCGTGTAGTGAGAAGGCAGATCCCAGACAGTCGAGTACATTGCTGTCTTTACTTTGTCGCACCCTCTGGTCACGGCTTGAAGCCGCTGGACGTTGAGTTCATGCAACGTCTTCACGATAAAGTTAACATCATACCCGTCATTGCAAAAGCAGACACCATGACGCCAGACGAATGTGCGCACTTTAAAAAGCAGGTATGCATCGATTCACCGATAATAAAACGTAGCGAGATCCGTATGAATAATAGTAAAATGTACTTATCAAAAGTTTAATAGAAACGTCATTTTTTAACATTCAGAGTCACGATTTCTGTTTCAAATTACATAGATACTGAACGAGATAGCGCAACACAAGATAAAAATCTACGAGTTCCCAGAGGTGGAGGAGGAAGAGGAAAATAAACAACATAAAATTCTTAGAGATAGAGTACCGTTTGCGGTAGTGGGCGCAAACACTGTTGTTGAACACGATGGTAGGAAACTTCGCGGAAGAAAGTACCCATGGGGAGTCGCAGAAGGTGCGTAATCGCTCAGAGTGCAATTTCTTTTTATAAGCCCCGAGAGAATCGTGCCTTTTTTTCTTTCAACAGTGGAAAATTTGGAGCATTGCGATTTCATTGCCCTTCGAAATATGGTAATCAGAACGCATTTGCAAGATTTGAAAGACGTGACAAATAACGTGCACTACGAGAATTTCCGGTGCCGCACGTTGGCGGGTGTCGGAGTGGATGGAAAACCAACAAAAGTCTTAAATAGGTAAGTGTACACTACTGTTTTCAATTTACACTGTTCACTTGTGACATCGAAAGGAAACATCATATATGTATAATATAAAACTATTAAAAAATCAATATAACATTTATGAATTAAAAACATGGAATTTAAAATGTGCATTTAGGTAATCAATAAGAACAGAACAAAAAATACAATGTAACACATAAACAATGAAAATCCTCTAATAAGTTAATTGTATCAGTTTCTTTTTTTTTATGCAAATGATTACGAAAGCTTGTAGCGTTTTGATTTTGTTTTTATTATGAGATTTTAAAAAAGCTTGTGCATGCAAACTATTGAAGGATGAAGATTACCTTTATAAGTCATATTTTAAAATCAAATATTAGAGATCTTGTTGAAACGTATTATAGTTTAAGCTAGAGACAAAAAATGATCCTGAAAATACATTTTTTAATAGTACATCCTCTACTTGAATTTTAATGCTGATTTCTTATTGGTTAGTTTGTGCCCCCCAGGAGTGATGAACAGTTTCATGACAGTGTGGTAAGTCTTCTAATAAACCCAGGGTCGTATAGTTTTATATAGTTTTGTGTGCACAAGCCTTGTCAAGTTTTTATTTATTGCGCATTAGTTTTTCATGCATTTATTTGGTTATGGGGGGTTCACTCCATATCACTCAGATTTGTTAGCACAAAAAGGAGAACTAATCACGTATACCGACTTGAAAAAAAAAGCTGTCAGCATTTACGTTACAAACTTGTTATTAGGGTGAACAGATAAATAGATTATATCGGTAGTGAACCCTCTAATTAAACATTTAGTTTTTGTGAGTAGTTTGCAGTAAAACAATGTTTTTTTATGGCCTTCGTATTTTCGTTTTAACAGAAAAACATGTTGCTAACTATGTTTAGTATTATTAGGTTTAGTACATGAATTTGCTTGCTTTTAGTTCACACTTTATTTTACTATATGAATATTTATCCCTGATACATCCATACTGATTATAAGTTCTGTGTGTCAGAACAGAAACTACGTTCTCATTTTGCAGTTATATATATATGTAGATAGTTCGTTTGAAAAAATACAAACTAAATGGTTAGTAAAATAAGGAAAACGTCTACACGCAGCTTTCATTTCCGTATACAGTTATTTTAAATTCGGATTATTTTTATGTATTTTGTAGGAATCCCCTGGCTCAGTTAGAAGAGGAGAAGAGAGAACACGAGAATAAAATGAAGAAGATGGAAATCGATATGGAACAAGTATTCGAAATGAAAGTCCGGGAAAAGAAACAAAAGCTCAAGGATTCTGAAGCAGACGTAAGTGTCGAGATTTTTTTATTGTATAGGAGTCTACGATCATTCAAGCAATGTTCATTACTTCAACGAGAGAGTAATCTGTTCACAGTTGCAAAGAAGGCACGAGCAGATGCGACGCTCCTTGGAGCAGCAAGTGCGTGAATTGGAGGAAAAAAGACGAACGTTCGAGGCTGAAAAGCTATCATGGGAGCAACAGACTGGACAGAGTATTGAAGATTTACGTAGGCGCAGTCTGGAGGCGAACTCAAAAGAGTAAGTATTGTTTGACTGTAACAAGTCTGCTTTCATCTGTTTATATTTTTATAATCATCGTGTTTTATACATTTCTTTCAATGTAAAAGATATTGAGAACAAAAACAATCTGCTTCTTGCACGAATGGAAAGGTATTTTGTAAAGAACATAGTTTTATAATTATCGTAATTATACGGAAATGGACCGACTGCTTCATTAAACTCCATACATCAATCGTATTCTATTATAATTTGCTGCTACTAATCACAGTAATATTGGTTACAATCCATTTTTAGTATTTTCTGACAAATTTGAAGCATCAAAAGCTTTAGAAATTAATCAAAATTCCGTAGAACCTGTTCCATAACGCAGCTCAGCTTAATAACAGGAAATCACTAATAATTATTAATAAGTATGTTCATTGTAACCATCTTTTTGAACTTAATTGCAGTCAATTCAGTGAATGTCGCCTCATTCTGAGGGAACAAATCAATAAGTTTTTGCTATAATATATGATCATCGTTTAGATCTGTACTAAAATATAATATTTTGATGTGTTTTTGCTTTTATATTATTTTTTTCTTACAACGTATGTGTTTCTCATAATCGTACTTATAGCATTGTGAAGAAATCATCTCTGTTACGTTTTCTCAGTCATCATTTCAAATACTTGAGAAAAACTTAATTTCTATGTGTTATAAGTTGTATGTAATGTCTGTTCGATTGCACCACGTTTACGTAAAGCAAAACAAAAAAACAGACATCGAAAGTATACATCATTTTTCCCCTTCGTAATGCTTCTTTAAAGTTTAGCACTGGATGTCTCGTGTGATGTAACAAGTATACATAGATAGTATACATATATATATATTTAAGAAAGCTTTACGGACGAATGTTATGTCATGCTTGCGCTTGTTTGTTTGTTGTGTGTATACCATATCGGGGTGTCCCTAATTTAGGACGGGATCAGTGTCCTCCGAGGGATCTGGCGGTGGCGGGGGTACATTGAGGGGTTCCCGAGGGATAGGAAGTCTCCTACGACGTCACACCAGTTTCAAATCACCTCAAGACAGCCCTACACAGATACAGCTTGTCATACAACATCCTGAGCATCCTTAGTAGATCGTAGCATCTGTCTACATTTACTTACAAAAAAAGCTCTACGTCGCTGTGTCTAATGACTAAGACTTTCAATCCAAATAAACGTCGATCTCATTTTATACATTTCACGCGCGTCTTACTTCAATGTGGCTGTACATGTCAATATGTGTACGCATAAATCTGACAGCTAATTACACATCACACGTGTTGTGTACTCTTGCGATTCTCATTTCACGATTATTTTTTGTTTGATTATTGCATTGATGTTATCATAGAAGCTACACTAAAATTTATGATAACTAGAAGTATGTTTACATGAATCAAATAATACGGGAGTTATAAACACCAATGTGTACTGGATAAATGTTTGCTCTTCTGAAGAAGTCATCACCATATGCACCAACCAGTGGACCTTGTGTTGATGTTGACGACTTTCTCTTGAAGGGCGAGAATTATTGTACACCAGGTGCTTGTGACTATAGTATTATTTGGTTTGTATAAATGTATTTCATAAAAAGTATCATATATTTTAGTTTCAATGTAAGTAACAAGCATCTTTATTAATTATATTTTCTTTACTTTTAATGTTTTTTAAGGGAAACATAACTATGATTTCGAAACAAGATGGAGATCCTTAAACATAAAAGAACTACCGTTGTTAGTTCTAATTGTCAAAGAACTGAATACAGATGACAAATTTTACACCACACTGACTAATGTTTGATAGTTAATGACATTTAAGTATAAAACGAAAGAAAAAATAAGAGAGATAGACTTTGTGTTGCGAGAGAAGCTCTATTAGATTAAAGAGTTGAAAAAAAAGGTCCATATCTAAAAAAAAACCTGATACTAACCTTACGTTAGCCCTGTAGATATATTTAGAAGGGCATATTTTTGGCACAAAGTTTGATATACTTTATGTAAGAGATGCAAAAGACCTTTATATTCCTATGAATGTCACTGTTTTATATACGCTGCAACGTGCGTTACACTCATACATAACTGTCTGTATAAACTCAATAACACCTACACTTCGTAGAATATGGAAAGCTATTGTAAACTCTAAACAAGCTGTCTATTTTTTGATTTCGTTTGTACATTCCAGTCCGCATGACTTGACATTTCCATTACACATAAATTAATGTTTCTTTCCAGATAGTTTTTTCTGAGAAATTTGAATTCAATCAAGAGACAGCTTGATGAAGGGTAATGCCATATGCGACCAATAGTCATTACACGCATACGATTATTATACATTGTTAACTTCATCATTGAATCTTTTTTTGCAAATAAACGTACTGCTTTCCTAAAACATTTACTAACCATTTTCGTCGTCCTTATTTTTAGCCTTTTTGTGGATAAGCATAAATTTCATGGATAAATGCCGGAGAAAAGTTGTTCATTTATACTTTCATATGACATTCAAAATTTACAACATCACAGGAACATCACTTTTCTCTGACATTTTTTAATGTTACGGCTCTTCATATCATATGTTATTATGTTCAATTTTATTGATTCTTATTGGAAACAATAATGTTTGTATGTTTATACTTGGAAGTTTTATTTGTCACAACTCTGCGTAAGAATACAAAATACCTTCTTCATTATGTAAACCTATTTTAATTTTACAAATATGTTGCATTGCTTTAATGATTCGTTAATTGTTATTAACCAATAGGTTTTATTGCAGCACATAGCTATCTTAAATGTAAGAATTATGTGCGAGTATTTGTTTAAAAAATGTTGAAATATTTTTGAAATATAATAAGCACCATATTAACATTCAAGTAACAAAAAGTAAAGTGATAACACTAGCAAACAGCATGCGGCTTGATGGTCATGGCCCATGAAATTTTTGGAAGCATGATTTTTAGCATGATTAGACATTGCTGTATTTACACAAATACGGATGGAAATGTACAATACTTCATGTTTCCTTGCAATTATATCCTTTTGGTAAACAATAAGATTCATGAAAGCTTTACTCAAGTCAGTTCTGAAACTTAATTAACGAATAGATATCAAAGATAGTTGATGACAAACTTATATTTAACTTTGAAATGTTTGTATTTCAAATAACTAGATATTAGTACATAGGAAATCGACAATATTTCTTATTAAAATAGGGTACAACCTAGGGCAGTAAATAATTTCAACTTGTAATTCTTTAACACTGTAAGTTATGCTGCTATCTAGAAATTATAATACCATTATTTCTTTCTACTGACACTTTTACTTTTTTTCAGGGCTGTCGATGGTAAGGATAAGAAGAACAAGAAGAAAGGACTTTTCTAACTCGACTTCAAAAAGGCAACATGAAGAATGAACTTTTCTTAAAGTAGTCAACAACAACTTTTTTTTGCAAACGATCGTATGAAAAATATGGTCATTCCTATAAAAGCAGTAGAACGAATATATATTGCTTAACTCTTTCACTGCGTATCACTCGTAGCTCGATCATTATACACAGTGAAAGTGTTCAATCACAAATTAATATGTACACCTTGTATATCGCTCCACATTTATATGACTTCTTCAGTTTACAAGCATAACATTATGCTTTCAGGAGTAAGATGAAAGAGTGCTTCTTCTGTCGTGTTCGCCTATGCTTCTTCGCGCTTCCTATTATTACTATTCAAGAAATCATACTAGCATAATTCAATTTATGATATTGTACAAAATGTAGACATAGTTTCACGAGACATCATTTTCCTTAACAAGAGTGATCAAGAAGATATTAATAGAAAAAATAAGAAAATCTTCATGATATAAATCTTTTCTCCTTGCTACGCACCCTATTTTGTACCAACCCCTGTGTCATCGATATTTATACCAATATCCCCAATATCATTATTATATGTCATCCTGCTTGAGTTGTACTTGATGTGTATACCTATATCCTCAATGTCTTGATTTCGTCGATATAAGTGTATGATATAAATATGAACAACAAACTCTTGCAGACAAGCCAGTTTGAAAGAACTAATTAACATGGGATAACGTTGATCGCTCTTGTACAATCGTGTGTACCTTACGTAACCAGAATAACAAATTCAGTTGATCATAGATTCGAGTACCGTTGCATAATCATTTCATCGAAGCAGAAGAATCTCTTTCTACGAAAAATCGCACACAAAATCGAAACATATGATGCATCATCAAACATAACATAGACGTGAAAAGTTGCTGTGTCCAGGTGTAGGATAAAAAAAAATTACATTAATGTCTAAATATATATTCATATTGTTTGGAACAATTAGAAAATAATACGTTTAAATATAAACAATACTTGCCCTAAGGGAATGAATTGTACAAAGGAAACTTTCGCACTAATTATTATCTTCTATTCGGTATTCGCGTAACGCTTATGATAGATCGAATTTTGGCGACATCAAGAGACTTCCAAAAACGATAGAAGTGTCGCTCATAATCGATCTTTTCGTTCAACGACACACACGTCGTTCTGCGACGGACGGTTGAATGTGATTTTAAAAACAAAAGCAGTGGCCATATATATATATATATATATATATATATATATATACATATAAATATATATTTATGTATAAATGAATCAACAGAATCTTAAGGTTAAGACCTATTCATGTAAATTTATGCTGTACTGATATCAAGGCAAATCGATCGCGATTAAACTGAATTGTATAAATAAATCTAAGTGTGAGTTGGATTGTCACGATTCGAGACGGTGCGAGTCATCGTTTCGTTTACTGTTAAACAAAATAATATACACTTTCGAGTATTAATAAGTTGAACTCGCATACTCTTGCGAAAAAAGCGCGCTGTCTCGAATCCGTCCACGTATAAGTCTGTATCTATATCAAGGATGGGCAAACAAATGGTATATTCATCTCTCCAGTATTTTTAAATTCTTTCGTACGCTTCGAAAAATGAATTTCCTTCTCCGTCGTCTATTGTTATCATCCGACCTTTTGTAAAAAATACCGGTTTGCCCAGTCTTGGACGCGTTATCTAAACTAATTAAATTACTCGTGTGCCAAGACGATGAGGGTGATAAGCATTTTATAACGTTAGTACGTGATTCTTCGGTTATTGTAATATAAGATACACGCGGTTTTCTTAAATGCAAACGAACTTCGTTTTAATTCATCGGGAGAAACCACATCACATTCCTATTTTGTACGCGTTTTTCTAGTTAACTCATCAGCTCGACGTTTGCCGTCACCAACAATCTATGGAAAAGCTCAAACTTCAATCTCTTCGATTGCATGGTACGGTATATTGGTCGTTTGAAAAGTATAGAGAAAAGATTCAGCCAAAATATGAAGCAATTTCGACTTGATAATAACGCGAAAGCTTTTTCAAGCGACGCGTTAAACAAACGCTTTAGATTCGGGCTTTCTATATCGAAGCAACAATGAATAACTTTTTAAGGACGTACACTTTATAGACGGTGATCGAATATTATACATTTCTCTGCACTGATTATGGTAAGCTCAATTATTAAACGAACGAGATTCATCAATCACACACCGTGTGAAGTACAAAATACAACCGTTTAATACTATGAAATTGTGACTTTAGTTTTCTTTTTTTAAGGAACACCGAGACAGACGAAGAATTCGCGATAGAGTACTTAAATTTTGCTTAAATCCCCCAATTCTTGATCCGTTGCCATTAATATTACGAATGAAGGAAATGTAAGTTTAAATGGATTTTCATACGATGCGGAGTTCCCAACAGATTAAGATTGCTGGATGGTACTTCGAAGACTTAGGACGTAAAGTAGGAGTAAAATGAAAAAGGCTAGTATATCTCGTCGTTGTAACGATCTTATTCGAGTGTAAGATCAATATACGGTCCTCGTGCGTATGCTTAGTTTACAGAACGAAGCTGTTTATACGTTTCAATGTTCTATCATCACGTAGTTATTAAGATCTCGGAGATCGACGAAAATCGAAATGTATTAATTTACTGTATGTGTACTGTAATAAGTAACGCTTACTGATAATTAATAGTTAATAATCGCCAAAATCACATTGAAGGAACTGCATTGCGATCTCCAACGCTCGGTTGCACGTATTACGCGTATATTGTAAGTCACAAACAAGAGACGTAAGTAGGTAAAAAAAAAAAACCACAAACTATATTTTGCCGTGCCAGACGAAAACGAAGCTGCCGCCGCTACTTGTAGAACACGTTGTAATAATATTAATAATAATATTCATGAAATCACGATTAGTACATTATTATACTTTAGGATTATGTATTCAGTAAATTATATATAAAAGTACCAGAAAAGTGTTGCTGCGTTTCAAACCCCAAAATCACACGATTTTTTTCTTTTGCGCGTAAGTATTGGTTTCTTTTTATCGATGTAATGAAGAAGAGGTTGTAAGTTAGATAAAACATAGGGAAAAAAAATGATCAAAGTAGTTGACCGTGAACGACCGAATCTATAGTCCTTGGTTCTACGATTCTTCAATTCTATAGTTTGTACTTCATTATTAATTCCACGTAACGTAAACGCGCATTACTCAGGTCACCTGTTTCAACGCTATTGTTGTCTTTCTTCCATACATTTTTCTTTGCTTTTATTAATAAATTACTTCATATAATATAGGACCCATTACATCTGAACCCTCCTCAAAGTTTATCATGCCATCTTTGGCGTAGGTACAGAATGTATAGAATCGATGAAAATGATAAACGACTTTTGAAGTTCGAATATTTCGTTCCGTCGCATGTACTTTGCTTCAATGTATTTATAATCATTCACGATGCGATTTAAATGTAAAATGACACGTGAACTTTAAACCGCGATTTACTTTCATTGAATTATTTATGTAAGATAGGTATCCAAGGATGAATTATTATTTGAATCAGTCAAATATTTCACATTACTCTGTAATTTCAAAAAGGCAAGTCTAAATTAACTGCTGAAAAATTCTTCGCTTCCAACGTCTATGTATCTAGCGCAAGCGATGAATATCATTAAAGTCGTGCAAATGATAAGAATGTTTCGACTTGGACTTCAACGCGTATTATGCAAGTGTGAATAAAAGAAAAATAAGATCATTGGAAAAAAATAACTTGTTCGCTAACGTAAATAGATTTATTTATACTGACTTTCATAATTCAAAACACGTGTCTAGCACATTTCGTATACGATTAGACTTGTATAGATACCTGGCGGTATGGGGAAAACAAAAAAAAAGAACCTAAACTCGTTGCGTTGTGTAAATTGTGACAAAAAATACAAAAAGTACGAAAGTATTTTTTTAGCATGTTGTAAAGTTACAATAAAACAGTGGTGAACAGGCTGAATAGATATTAGTAAAATATTACACAACATTAGCATAAAGAATTCAATGATTATATGTTTAAAGCGTGTCACGTACCGGTACGAAACTAGCGCAAAAAGTGAAATTCTTTCCAGATTATCCGACAATCAATTCTATCTGGTACGCGTTGCCTTCCATCTACGGTACCATTTACTTTTACGAAAATTTATTCCAGGCGGTGCTTATTTTCATTTGTACCGTTATGCTATTTCGAACGTAAACAGTCGAACTATGTTGTACTATGTTATATCGAAGGTTGTAACACGCTCAAATTATTTTGTCCCCAAGGTTTCTGACAATATGCTATAAGATAACGTAGCTAAAATTGACGTAAAATTCTTTGGTCTCTATCTTAGAAATTGTTTCTAATCGTATTTAACTTGCATTATTTCTCAGAATGACGCAAGTCCTGAGACCAACGCCAGCGGGAATTTCAAAAACCACTAAAATCGCGGCGAGTAAGTATAAGTTGAAACATTAATTTGTAAAACCACCACAAAAAATATGTTTCCGCGACGGGGATCAAAGGAATTTGTTATCCCCTCCAAATGATAGCACGACTACTTGAATAAGTGGCGGCAGCTCCGCAAGCAGCATTTACGCGTGGAACGTGGTGGAACGTTAGTTCGTAAGTTTGGTTCCTTAGAAGACTAATTTAGTCGAATAGGTCCCACAAGAGAAAAGGAAGGTCAGACGAGCTTCAAAACACGCAATAGGAAGTCATTCGGTGACCGTAATTTTCACCTGTGGAGTTTCACTTCTAACCTGAATTCACCGCTGGGCTTGCTTCTAATAGTAGCGCATCTGTCCTCGAGGCACATCATATTTTCTTGGCTTAAAGATACGGATACGACGAAAGCAGACTTGTGAGAAGTTACATTTTAAACGATATCGTCTTTATTTCTTCAATATAACTATTAATATCAATTGTCAAGAAAGTATTAGACGAACGTAACGATATTTGGACAGCACCGTTTGATCAACCGGTATCACGTGTACCTCCGATTCGTACTCAAAGTATTCTTTAATCACGTATTGTCATGAGCATACAATTTTAATGATCGCACAAGGAGAACGGTACGTCCAAGAAAATTTATATAAACACGAGAAAGAAAATCTTCAAGGAATCACAAGTAGGAACAAAGTTTGATTGACATTAAAAATCATGTGGCCAAAAGATGTTGGTATCAGGGCACTGGAAGTGTACTTTCCTGCTCAATATGTTGACCAAGCAGAGCTCGAACAATTCGATGGTGTGGCTGCTGGAAAGTACACTATTGGATTGGGTCAGAGCAAGATGGGTTTCTGCAATGACCGTGAAGACATTAATTCGTTGTGTTTGACAGTGGTACATCGATTGATGGATAGGTATGCCATAAAGCCAAAGGATATCGGTAGATTAGAAGTTGGAACAGAAACAATAATAGACAAAAGCAAGTCTGTTAAGTCTGTTCTTATGCAGCTGTTTGAACCATACGGTTGTACCGACATGGAAGGAGTGGATTCTACCAATGCATGCTATGGAGGTACAGCTGCCCTTTTCAATGCTGTGTCTTGGGTAGAAAGCAGTGCTTGGGATGGGAGATTAGCTTTAGTTGTTGCTGGTGACAATGCGGTCTATTCTTCTGGAAGTGCTAGACCGACTGGTGGAGCTGGAGCAGTAGCAATGATAGTTGGTCCAGATGCACCTTTGGTAATCGATCGTGGAATAAGATCATCATATATGAAACATGCCTATGATTTTTACAAACCGAATCTAAAATCAGAGTATCCTATTGTCGATGGAAAATTATCTATTGAATGTTATTTCAGTGCTGTGGATAATTGTTATCAAACTTATTGTGAGAAAGTTAAAAAAAAGTATAAAAAGAGTGTTACTATAGATAGTTTTGATGCATTTTTGTTCCATTGTCCATTTTGTAAATTAGTACAAAAATCATTTGGCAGACTAGCCTTCAATGATTTCTTGAACACACCTAAAGACAAAGTGTCTGAGAAATATCCAGAATTAGTAAAGTTTCACAATCTTAAGCTTGAAGATACTTATTCTGACAAAGATATTGAAAAAGCATTTGTAAGTTTGAGTAAGGCAAACTTTACTCAAAAAACAGAACCTTCTTTATTTTTAGCAAATCAAGTTGGAAACATGTATACACCATCTGTATATTCTGGATTAGCATCCTTACTTATTAATAGACCTATAAAAGAATTAGCAGGTGCTAAAGTAGGAGTATTTTCTTATGGTTCAGGGTTTTGTTCTACTATGTATTCTATAACAATAACAAAAGAAGCAGAAGAAGGGTCTAGCTTAATGAAGATAATCTCGTCACTTTCATACATAAAACCACAATTAAACGCTCGTCAAAAAGTTTCTCCGGTTGACTATACAAAGGTGTTAGAATGGAGAGAACAAAATTGTCATACTGTACCATTCAGCCCTCAAAGTAGCATTGCTACCTTGTTCCCAGGAACATACTATCTTGAAAAAGTGGATGAAAAATACAGAAGGACTTACAAGAGAGTATGAAACTGATAGTAATTATCAGTATTTAGTTTATTGGTAGTTAATTTACTTAATGTGGTAACAAAAAATTAATCAGGGGCCTGAACAATCATTGAATAAAAATCTTAATGGTGTGTAACAACGTTTATTTATATAATTTAAAAATGTACTATCGAATTGATACTTTCTTAGTGCCAAGGAACAATAAAAAATTGTACCTACATGCACTAGAACTAATGTGACTATGCATAAGCTTAGCTTTTAAATTAATTTGTAAATTAAAAACAAATGATTTTTAACACACATACAGAGATTTTATAAAGAATGCAATGTAAAAATATAGTAAATTTTATTGTTATTCCTACAAGAGATATCTGTTTTATATGTTGTATTATGTATATTTTATATATTTAATGAAAAAATAATAAAACCTATGCATTTTATTATTATGGAGGAAATATTAATACATGAATAAATTTATATTATATTGATATTGAAAGTCTGCAATGTATTCCTTTCAACTTACTTCGTGGCAGTTAAAGACGTTGGCGCAATTATAAATTATAATTTTATTATTGACACTTTGCCATTCCTCTGTTTTTGAATATGTAATTTCGATAATTGCAGGAGAGCCTCACTTATTACAACATCTTGGCAAGTGGAAAAATATGATTATTTAATGAGTAAAGTTGAAGGGAAGGGTAACAGTAGCAATATTTATTGAATAAACCTCAATCATTGTAGGAATTTTCAGACCTGTACTTTTACAATAATTGAGGTTTTACTGTACAATATCAATTTTGTATATAGTATACATTAATTACGAAACATAAGTGAAAATAGAACTTCATTACGATTTTATTCTAGTCATTTCAGTATTACAACAATATTCAAAAATAGTACATTAGTAAATTTTTTATTTAAAAAAATATATTAATATATTACTTGTGTGCTCAGAGATTCAATTCATTATAAATAAATACGAACATCTACTCTTACTATATTTTTATAAATAATCGAAGTATATAATTATTGTAGAAGTAATATATAAAATCTATGCACCTATATTTACAAAGATCTAAGTTTAAAACATTCAGTGTATAATGTGTGCTAAAACTGTAGATGACAATAATTTATCAGATTAGTACAATAGATTCAATACATTATTGTTTCATAATTGTATAAAATATTGGCTCATTGCAATGATTATTTTTCTTTGTCTTGTAAGACACACAAAATTCGAAATGTTTTAATATCACATTATTTGAATTGTTATAAAAAATGTTGTACTTTGTTCTTCTACTTTATGTACAAGTTTGAACTTAGAAGAATATATAAATTGTTTCTTTAGAGCCATTTTTAAAATATTTTGTATGAACAGCCAGAACAGGAAGACAATTTTCTTCCTGTGCCAAGTTTGACAATTTCATCTTCATTTGCGTTTATTTGTCGATTCTCGTGTCGTCTCTAAAAGCAAGTGAAAAGATTTGTACTTAGGTATCAAAACATTTTCTACCATTTTACTCTGTTTTTTGGTTTTTATGTATTACTGTGTATAAAAATTGTCCACTCACTTTGAGCTCAGATGCCAGATAGAAAAATACTGAATCTATATTGGTATTTTCTTTGGCTGATGTTTCCACTACTTGTAAAACTTCAGGAAGATACTGACAAAGAACATCAGCCTCTCCTCTCTCAACTTCCCGTAAACTTTCTAAATCACATTTATTACCTAAAAATGTTACATGCATAAATATGCATCAGTCACATATTATAGTTTAATGTCACATACAAAAGCATCTTACCAACTAAGACTAACAATACATGCGACGAAGTGTACCTTCTTACTTCTTCAACCCAATGTTGTAAACTTAAAAAGGTTGACCTCTTTGTAATATCATAAACTGAAATGTATTGGAGTAATCATAAGAGTGGATGGCTAAACAAAACAAAATACAAGGAAATGATGTTACATACCTACAATAACACCATTGGCAGATCTATAATAACTTTGAGTTATTGTACGAAATCTCTCTTGGCCAGCTGTATCCCATATTTGCAACTAAATGGTGACAAAAATATTTCTAAACTATGCTTATTAAATTCATGTATTAATCTCGGAGATTGACAACAAAATTCATTGATCTTTAAAAAATTATTTCTAGCATTTAGGTCTCACAGCTTTAACGTTCCTAAATAGTACTTGTGTACAGACCAAAATAAATTATTAAAAAAATTTAAAAAGCTCGTAGATCGACGCGGGTATTCATAGAACACTGTTGATCACTGACTAGTGCGTCTTGACTTGTATAAATTTTTGTTTTCGTTTATTCAACATTTAGCATTAATTCATGGCAATGCCAACTCCATAAAAACATTAAATAAAATATTAAAGCTAAGCAAAACTAAGGTGGGGCGGTTATAATCCATCTAACCCCAAAAGAATTAAGTCACAAGGGAATTAAAAAACTCTTGGCTTGTACATGTTCGAACATAGGTGGATCAAACTTACCTTGACCTTCTTGTTATCGATCAGTACGGTTTTCATGGAAAAATCAACGCCGATCGTGCTTCCGTGTCTTTCGATAAATGTGCCAGATCGAAATCTTTGAACGACACACGTTTTACCCGTTCCACAATCACCGATAAGTACGATCTTGAACAAATAATCGAAGCTCTCATCGTTCGTGGCCATCAAATTGTCCGGATCGCGGTTTGACATTTCTTCTCGATCGTCGAAATAGTCTGTTAAATCGACGATACTCTTTTTACACCACACATTCAGACGCACTGGTTACCTACGCCATTGCTTTACCGATCTCCATCACTTACCAAGCACAAGCACTCTTACAAATTCTTGGTAGTCTGCATTAATGCTTTTATTCCATTCAATTTGTCATAGATGTTTTAATTTTTGTTGTACAGCATCGAACTATTATGACGTAAAGATATATTTAAAGACTTAGTAATAGTAACATGGCGTACGTATTTTATTTATAAATTGTAACTGTAAATAACAAGATGATTTTTTTAAGTGTCTTTATTTGTGATCATTTAATAAAACGGGATTAGTACATAAGATTATCATATACATTTATTATAAACTTTCTCTTAAAGGAATACATTCTATTGCTAAACAAGTATAAATACAATGGGAATCATGATGAATGAAACATTACTTTCCAGAAGTGAATCTTGAGAGACCTTCTAACAGGCTAACGTATGCCGTGTGTTCGTAATTCGTACTAAGTTCCACTAGTTTCTCCGCGAATTCGTTGGAGATGCCTTTCTCCTCAAGGTAGTTCATCAGCAAGTCATACAGATACTGAAATAATAGATGTTATGAAAATGGTATGTAATTAAACTAAGGAAATTGCATGGAGAACATTGCTTTGTTACATCCTCTTGTTTTGATCTTATCATCAATGATAAAATCATAACAGAGAATGTATTACTTTTCCAAAGATAAATATTCAACATGGTTACTGTATACGCCATCTTGTACTCAACTCTTTGGATGTAGCTTATAAAATAATTGTAGTATAACTTACTCCATCAATAATTTCACCAGCAACTGCATAAACTTTGTCACTGTGTTCACCTTCATACAAAGTGATTTCATCAATGCCAAAAATATCATCTGAAATAGAATATATATAAATATGAGCAATAATGTGCAACACTGATTTCTTAAACAAAATACATGTAGTTACACAAATAGAATGTGTTCTTATAAAACATAATTTAATCATACTTACTGTAATCATCACTGGCACCAGATGCTCCAGGTTCATTGTTAAATGAACAGGTGAATCCAAGAGTTTGATTCCCTCTTACTACATCAATTTGAAAGTTTGGTTTACTTTTCATTTCACCGATGTCTGCATTATTGCTGGTCATATCAATGTCTGGTTCCGACTCGGAATCAACAGTGTGGTTTATATTAAATGTAATTTTAACTCTATAAAAGGAATTAACATAGTACATTAAACACTTTTAATTAAAAAATATTTAACTTGTATGTTACAATTTTTCTTACGTCTCATTATCTTGCATCTTCTCTAAAGTAACATTGGCACCATCTAAAGATACTTTGAATCCCTCTAATTCTGTAGGAATAGTTTTTAGCTTTTGTGCCTTTTTCTCTGCTACAATTTCTTCAGCTAAAAATTCTACGAGTTCTTTTTCACCTCATAAAATAGATTAAAGTTAAGTTTAGTTATTTTCAAGATTTTTTTATCATGTAAAATAGGATAGAAAAATTATACAGAGATAAGTATACCTTTTGTGTGGACGCTTCTGCAACAGCCACAATTGCAAAAGACATTTTGGTGTTTAAATGCTTTTATCGAAGAGAGGGGTGCAACTTCGGTTTGTCGAGAGTGAAGATTCCACAATGTTCTCAATTGATTATTTACAATACCCGTGCCCGAAGTTGACGAGAAAAGATTCCTAATCGCCGACGTACGCAACGTATTTCTTATGATACCATTCATTTTAATCCTTTCAATAATTACACTTAGTACAACCTAACCGGCAATCTAACAAAATGGTTTCACGTTGAGCGTCGAAGTGAGCACGAGGACAGAAGAATGGTTGCGTCATGAAATAGCAAACATGCTACCCTTCCAACATGACTTCCGGTGTGGATCAATTCTGACGCTCCCTATTGATACAGAGTGAACTACATTTGAAATTGGAGCAAGAAATAACTAGAAAATTCATTTTAGCTTTTTATTTAAAATAGAATGTACAATATATACTTATCTCAACGAACATTTATTGTATAAACTAAAACTGTTCCGTTGTAGAGTTATTTCACAATCGTTTATCATGGACATCACACCCATGGATACAATCTCATGAATCTTATATTTAACTAAAACTAAAATTAAATAATAAGTGCATGGAATAATAAAATAAATAATAGGGCATGTGTAATTATGTCAATGTTATTATTATAGATGCATGCATAACAGTTTAATTAACCCTAGTGGCGCCATCGGTGGCAAAACGCCCAAGTTTGTAGTGAAAATAGTTCTCGCCACTGCTGCTAGATGGCGCCACTACGAAAAATCGATAATAATTGCTAGATTAAATAATTATGCATTAAAATAATAAAATTGGCATGTTGGCTACTATATTGAAGTATTATAAAGCAAAATACATCGTGATAGTTACTCATTTAAGTAAAATAAAAGAAATTAATTTTATTAACCGTGTGGCGCCATCTAGTGAGAATATTAGGAACTATTTTCACTATGAATTTGAGCGTTTTGCCACCGATGGCGCCACTGCCGCCGAGACCAGAATAAAATAAAATGTTTTTAAAAATGATAAATTAGCATAATCACACATGCCCTGACCATTTTATTATTTCCTCCACTTATTATTTAATTTTATTTTAGATTAATTATAAGAATTATTAGAATTAGAAATTATTGGCTGGCTTAGAAATAAGTTGCGACTGTGAATACCTGTCCATGAATCGCGGGCGTAGGCTTATTATTATTTTGCATGCATAACGTATAATTGCGTTTTGCGAATAAATACTAATGGTACGTGTAAGTTAGGCATATATGGCACAAAGTATATGTATGTAACATACATTTATTATGTCCAGAAAATTTGTTATTGACATAGGTTATGCTGCTTTAGAATAATCTAACTTTGTTTTATATTAATTACATATAGGACTAACATAATTCATACGCGAAACGAATACACGTGACCACCCGGCGCATAATTTACCTTGAAATGCAATTTTGAATTCTTCGTAAACATGACATAGCATGTTTTGTTCTAATCTCGATTGTGAAGTACATATACTCAAATCTGATTGCACTTACACAATATCTAGCAGGTAACAGTTCTGTAAACATGAACCGAATAGTGATATTTGGAGCTACAGGAAATACTGGATTATGTGCTTTAAATACTGCTATAAACAAAGGTAGTGTATTCATTTTTTATTATCTATGTACAGAGAAATAAAAAATTATTCTAAGTATAAGTTTATGTAACATTAATTTCACTTACCTTTGATCAGTTATTCTCAAATTCAGGATTAGATGTAAAGGTGTTTGTGAGGGATGAAACAAAATTGCCAGCAAATGTGAAAGACAAAGTAGAAGTTGTTGTCGGTAATGTTACAAATGCAGAACAAGTGTCAAATGCAATAAAGGATAGAGATGCTGTGGCTGTTGTGCTTGGTACACGAAATGACTTGAGTAAGTATTGTACTTTATGTTTAAATTATCAAATTTTTTATTGTTTTATTAAATATTTTTAGGTCCAACCACTGTGTTGTCCCAGGGCATGAAAAATATAATAGATGCTATGAAAACACATAATGTAGAAATATTATCTGTTTGTTTATCTGGTAAATGTTCTTCTTTAAAATGTATTTTAGTATTTATACAATTTTCTAAGTAACAATTTATTCTTGGCAGCATTTTTATTCTATAAACCTGAAGCAGTACCTGCTATATTCAAAGACTTAAATGCAGACCATCAACGTATGTTTGACCTTCTCAAGGAAAGTGGACTAAAATGGATTGCAGTATTACCACCCCACATTGCTGGTATTCATTATATCAAAATAAAAAAGGAAAATCGACGTTTTACAACATTGCGATTAATTGTTATCATTTATTTCATTTTCAGATGCACCCAGTTCGAAGTATGTAATCAAGCACGACGAATCTCCGGGCCGTGCAATATCGAAACATGATTTGGGTGCTTTCCTTATTGAAAGCCTTCAACAATCAGAACATTATCAAAAAATTTGCGGTATTGCAACTGTTTCATAAATAACATAAAATATCATTACAGATAAATAAAAATGATTCTATTTCCTTCTTTGGATAATGCATTAAGTGATGCATAAGGAATTACAAATTTTCACATACACAAACGCAGTTTGTGGTTTCTAATATCTATTGGAATAAATATGATATGTGTTTTATGTGAAGAGTATTTTTGCATTATGTATAATTAAAAAAATAGCTTAGTAAATAAATAAATAATATGCATTTTGTAAAGCATTTATACATGGAATATGAATGAATCTTGTAGAAGCAAGCATTTTGTTCATTATTTTACGACGATAAATTTTTTATCATATGTGTTCTGTGAGCTATTACACTTAAATCAAAAAACTTTGGCACTTGAAAGTTTGGCATTGGAGGAGGTGGTGGGCCAGAACATTGCGTACATTTTTCTTTAAGCTTTGCTTTAGTAAATGCTGCAGTAGAATATACAACATCATTAATTCCATATGCTTTAAATGGATCACACGTTTTGTATCCATTTTTAAAGTAAAAAACTTCTTGGCCTTTAGTTATTAATAATACATTTTTAATTCCTTTTTTTGCTACATATTCTTCTGCTCCACGCAGCAGTCTAGATCCAAGTCCTTGAGATCTATATCCATAATCAATTATAACTAAAATGTAAAGAAAATTAAATCCTTCTGTCTCGCTATTTCTGTTTTATTTTTTGCTCCTTAAGTTGAACTTACCTGACTGTATGAAACAACTATGACGTAATCTGGGTATTAATGATATTTTACAATGACCAAGAACTTTGTCATTCTTATCAATAAGTATGAGACAAGTGGGGAATTCATCGCATGATACACTTAGAGATTTTAACCTGTTTAACAATAAAAATACTCAGTAATAGAAAGTTCTTTTCCCTATAAAATTAATGTAATATACCGTGCAGACTCGCTTCGTGGCCATTCAGAATTAAGTAATGTGCAACAATCCTGGATCAAATCTTGTCGTTGATGAATGGGTACTATAACATATTCCATGTCAATGGTTGTCATAATTTTTCTGTAAGAATACATTTTGGTCCTGAATACTATTACGATTTCCACCATGACATAATTTCGATTTTTTGAAAAAGTTACGAAATTAGACCGTTATATACTAAGATGAAATCTCAGATAAGGAGTATAGAAACGTGACTTTGTTCTAAGAATAAATTATTTCTACACTTTCATTTAGAAATCGATATAAATATGGCTTTTGCCAATCGAATGGCAAAAGGTTAAATAATACATGATTCACGAGAATTAGATGACGATATTCGTTCGTGAAAAGTGAGCGTCTATTTTTAAAGATACCCGATCGAATCCCAAACAGGAAAAGACGCACAACAACCTGTGATTGACAGATATCGGAAAATAGAAAAGGATGTGTGTCAACAAGTGTAATAGTTTGCAGCGGATGTCCTTACCGTATTTTTTTTTGTGGACAAAGGAACTTGACACACAAGTTTAAAGGTCACTGTGCTCTTCACCTGAATGTACTCGTACGGAAATAGCTTTCAGATTACTGTCATCTTGAGCTAGGAACGATATTTCTGTTGAACATATCCCCACCGTTATGTAAAATTTCACCACACCCAACATTATTGGGCATAACGTCTTGTTCTAATGTATCCTCGAATGTGTACTCGCACGTTCTCTAAATTATCGAAGCAAAAACTGCGTTATTATTAATTATCATACAGATCAATTTTGCGTAGCATTCGTAGAGGATGAAATCACATTCTTAAGTTTTACGTTCGTTTCATTTTGTCCTTCATAGAGAAATTCTTAGACTTATTTTACAAAACAATGCATTCTTTAAATAGTTGGTAAATAGTATCGTTTCTCCTGGTACCCTTTTTCTTTTCGAATATCAAAAATATAAGTAATTTTTATCTAATATATGAATTCCTTTTTATTTGTAACGTATGCTGTTATTTGAATTGCCCATGACCCATTCCCTTTCGAACGCTTGTATCTTTTTTTGCATTTGACCCATTTTTCCTAATAGCCTCTGTTCTATATGTGAACAGTGTTCTGCATTCTTTATTTCGACAGTGCTGGTCAATGACATTACAGAATAGTCTGTCACATATCATTCCCCTTTCATCACGATTGCTTACCATGGCACTTTGGAAGATTCTTTTAAAATCGAAGAGATAAATTTATCTTTCTTATTCACGAGGAAGAATAAAGTTAATGCTCATAGTCTGCCATGTATTTCGAACATAATTTTAGCCTATCGATTCTTTGGAGCTAATTTAATCTCTTTGAGAACCACTAACCTCTGTCGAGGAACGTCGAACGTTTGGTTTATTTGTGTCACTTTCCGCTTCTAGTTTTATGGTGTCTGTGTGTGTCGAATGTAAACACTCGCATTGATTCACAATATACTTTCCGAAAATATACTTTCAATTACAAATATTAATACTGCTTTGAAACTGTATCAAGAATCAACATTAAATCCTGGCGATAACAAGTTTATTTTGCCGCGTCAACGAAATGGACATTTAAACATTTGTCGTCCTGATATTTTTGTGAAGCGAAAATGTTGCCAGGAAGACCTCCGGTGACAGGTAATGTCATACAAATTTAATTGAAAATTATGAAAATTAATTTTAACCCAAGGAAGTACTTTCTATCTCACCTAACCTCTTACCTTTTATTTTGCATAATTAACAGAGAATCCTTTGGGACTCTCTTGGCATGACAGCGCTTGGATTCCTGTATTAAATCCAAACAACATAATGGATTACTTCTCTGAAAGAAGTAATCCTTTCTATGATAGGACATGCAATAATGAAATTGTTAAGATGCAACGTTTGAGCCCTGATCAATTGCAGTAAGTGTTCTCAAAGTTCCATTATTGAATGATACAATTCAGAATTAGGAAACTACTCTTGATCTTTTAATTTCAGGAATATGACTGGACTGGAATATATCTTATTACATGTACAGGAACCTATTTTATATGTAATTAGAAAGCAACATCGTCATTCTCCTATTCTAGCAGCACCACTTGCGGATTATTATATCATTGCAGGTACCATATACCAAGCACCTGATTTAGCATCTGTTGTCAGCTCCAGATTGGTACTTATCACTTATCAGAAACATTATAGCGATTAAAAATATGGTTTTAATTTATGGAATTCTATTTTTCAGTTGTCTACAGTGCATCACTTACAATCTGCTTTTGAAGAAGCCAGCTCCTGTTCACGTTATCATCCTAGTAAGGGATACTATTGGGATTTCAAAAATGGGAAAGCCTTGGCTGCTAAAAAGGAAACACCTGTTCGCGAGGAACCTAGCTCTTTATTCCAACGTCAAAGGGTAGATATGCTACTCGCGGAACTTACGCGGAAGTTTCCATTGTCTGTTCCAAAGCCAGTGCATCAAGCTACAGAATCACGTAAGTATTTAGTATAGTAAGAAAAGTATTAATTAAGTAATAAAAATAACATTTACTTGTTTGTTTTTAGCTATCGAAATTAAACAAGAAGTAAAAGTTGAGAAGAAAGATATGAAACCACCGCCAGAAAAGAAGCCAAAAGTTAATTAACGAAAATTGTAATATATAAGGATTTAGGTTTATGTAATTTGTATAATGTCTATTATCATGGGACATTTACTTCACGAAACAGGCATTTAATATTTTAATTGTATTTTTTTCTGGAATATAAAAACTGTGATGAATTGGTATGCGATGTATTAGTATTAGATTTAATGTAAAATTAAAGACAAGTTGAATATTTTTTATTTCACTGTTTGTTTTCTTATTTCTTTTTATACCATGGACAATCAAGATCGTCAATTTCGTCTTTTATATTATGTTTCGTCGATTTAAGCTGTTTCTTCTTAATATCTTTGTGCCTATATCGTGTTCCATCGCGAACGTTGGTAGTAGGACACTCGGGTGTCGGGTGACAGGGAGGATCTCCGTGTTTTCGTGCTCGAACATAGTAGGAATACGTTGAAATAGTGTTTGACATGATCTAGAAACGTTACAACCATATTTTTGTAATTATCGAATAAAATTCAGAGGTATTCTGTCACAGACTTTCTTATTGTTTTGCAATGTGGACCGAATACGATGCATGATGCCTCTTTTGTTATCACAAGTTTAATTATTTTCTCAGTAGAAATATCAAGTATAAAATGTAACTGTTGCACTTTAAATTTTTACGAGGGTGGTCATAAAGAAAACGAAACTTTGAAATGTCAAGACATATTAGTTTGTCAATTTTTTTTTAGAATTTCATTTGTAATTGACTCGATTAGCTAGCAACAAACGTGTCCCTTTACAACATAAAAATTGTACATAACCCGTGAGATATGATATGCGATCAAAATACATGCGGTACAGAGTACCCAGACGAAGAAATCAAGGAGCAGTGTGACACGTGCGTTGATGATGAACTTATCAAACGACTGAAACACGAGAAATGGAAACTCGTTCAGTTGGTTCGTCAACAAATGGAACGATTTCAGGAAACAGAAGTAAAATCATGTAACAATTAAATCTATCTAACATTCCAAATTCACGATTGTGTATTAAAGAGAAAAATTATGACTTTCTCAGTACAGTTTGCCTTCAACGTCTGATGAATCAAAAAGACTGTACAAGCTGGATCTGCAAGACACGTTCATGAACGAAGAATTGAGCCTAAAAGAAGGCATAAAAAAGGAAGGAAACGTAACACCGCGTACTCTTTATATTCCAAGTTCAACGCCGATTCGTCAACCAAGGCCTGCACGTCGTTTAGGAAAGATTCGCCGACGAATTTGCGTACTAGTGTCAGTCACTGGAGTCATCGTGCTGATGTTATTAATATACGGTGTTTATTTTCGCTTGTATCTTTGCAACAATGGTCAGGCTTGTGTAACGTCTTTTCAATACACTCACGCTAAGCACGCGTTGTTTTAAACGACATTTTATTTAAATCAAATAACCGCGAGACCGTTATTCTCCAAAGAAACGCTTGGAAAGATCCAAGCGAACTATACGAAAACAGTGTACGCGTCGTAACTTTGGGTGAAATTTGCTGCGTAATAAGGAAAGCGTCTAAGACTTGACACAAAATATATTAAACTTGGAATAATACACCGTGTGTAGCGTTTAGTTAGTATGCAACTAGTCATCTTGATGATTCCTAGATCGTTTTCGGTTCCGTGTATTTTTGACGACTAGGCGTTCGACCTTTACGCTGCGTGTTGCGTCGTTATGTCCGTCCCGTGTCATTTCACGTGCGACAGAACCAGTTGCAATTCGTTTCGTGTATGTCCATCGTCGGTCGGTGATCGACAGTACGATTGTTTAGACTTCGAGATCGGTCCTTCTGATATGTTTGCTCGTTCTTCTTTTTAAATGATTTTTTACACGCAACTTTCCGGACCAGGTATAGAGTTGGCAATAATGATCTCCTTCATTAAGTTACGGTCAGCCTTAAAGCTAATAGGTTCCCAAGACTTCGCGGAGAAGGGGTTTAACTGCAACGAAAAGCGAGAAATATTTAAAAACGACACTTCGTTATAAACATTTCAAATTCAGAAGCTATAGAGGACTTACGCTGCATCTGTTAGTTTGAAGTCCTTGTTTGTGGATGTCGTACGGCGCGAAGAGCGTGTCTGGTCTCACAGGTAGAAACAATTGTGGTTCACGTTTGATTTTCTCCTGATCTGAAGGGTGAACTGGGGTAATTTAGCATTCATGGGGTAGTTTTAAGAAAGAAATTTACCTTGCGGTGACTGTATGATGTCTGGTTGATTGTTGAGCGCGTAATCGGTGACCTGTTTCAGCGTGTACTCGACGAAGTAAGTGTGATCCCCGTGCGTGACGTCGAGCATCGAGTTGTTCCTCGAGTCTGGCGGTGTGATTATCGGTTGTTTCATGTAGGGTTCGATGTGCACTGGGGATGTTGTACCTCTGCGTCGGTACATCATCAACATCACTGAGAGCACAGTGATACCGAGCGCCATTAGGCATCCGATGAGGAGCAGGATAAGCGGTACCATGCTCACTCCACTGTCTGTAGAAAGGAATTCAAGCATCTCAATTCAACAGAATTTGATTTACTCAGGATATTGTTTAGTTGTTTAGATTGTACAGACATTCCTGGGTAGGAATACATTTTACCTGTATGTTTCTCGGAGTCCCTCAGCATGATGTCCTCTAGCAAGCTCACCTCGCTACGTCCTTTGGCGTTCACAGCATACGTGACTAAGTAAAAATGCGTAGCTGGAAGAAGATCCGCTACGGCTATACGAAATAACGGCACGTCGGCGGATACGCTGGACGCGTTCACTCGCAGATTTCCGGTGACGACCTCGTAGGCCTCCAGTCGAAACTCTTGTCTCAGTCCTCCATCGTACCCTGGCACGCACTCGACCACCAGTATCTCGGAGCTCTGGTTCAACGACTCCTTTATCGTGCAATTGTTCAAAGGATTCGGTTTAACTGTAAACGAAAGCGAGTTTGCGTTAGGAAAGAGAACGCTCTAGCTTAAATTAAAATTCGTAGTATCAGTGGAGAGTTCAAGAGGACATCCAAGGTACCTGCTGGGATGATCTGATAGATGCAAGGCGCTTCCTGCTTCCCAATAGTGTTCCTACCCCAACACGTCAAGGCGCCATAGTCCCTCTCGGACATTGGGGTGTAAACGAGCTCGCTCATCGTCCCGTTGTTACCGTCGAACTTCGCTGGAGCCACCTCGAAGTTCTCCCCGCTGTTGTTGAACTCCCAGACGAACTCTACTTCATTTGGATCGGCGTCGACCTCGCAGCGGACCTTCACGGACTCCTCCAGCGACGCGCCGATGATGGACACCTCCTTCGCCTTGCAAACTGGAGCGACTGGACAATTCAAAAACAGGAGATATAATGTTTCTTCTTTTTTCCATCATCGTCAAAAAGTCGTTAAAATGAACTATGACAACTTACACTGTACTCGCAGGGTGACTACAGGGCTGGTGGTCTCCCCACGATCGTTGCTCGCTAGGCACGTGTAATTGCCCGCGTTGTCGCGGCCTATCTTCTGTAGCACCAGGCTCTGAGTGCTCATGATTATCCCAGCTGAATAATTTTGCGTTAATACTGCATCCTGCGAATCCACGAATCCATGGTTAGTTACTGTTTTCGTATTGCCGACAGATCAACAGACTACTCACATTGTGTCTCCACGTGATTTTGTGGTGTTCCGGGTTAGCTCGGACCTTGCACTCAAAGTAGACGTCGTCGCCCTCTTTTATCTTCTCTGCGTTTAGGGTGCTGCCCAGGTGCAGCTGTACTTTAGGTGGAACTGGGGAAACACGACGAATTATCGCACGAACGGCAGGTTCTCATCAGATGGTTTATGATACTCACAAACTACATTTAATTGAAAGAAGTCTTCTAAGTATGCGTTTGGCAGTGATGGATTCTCCCCGCGACATTTCAGGATCATCCCGTGGTCGTCGGGGACTGGCGAGAATATGAGCGTACTTAGGACCACCGAAGCGTTTCCTCCGTCCAGTACCTGAACAATTGAAGCTTCGTTCAGCTACCATAACTTTCACAGTTTTCTACAAAAGTCCTAGTCGATTACTTTGCCACTACGATAAACGGTGTTTCCCTCCAACCAGCTTATTCGAGCCCGAGGATGCGACCCCGTCGTCTCGCAGGCGATGGAGTAGTCCTTCTCCGTCTCGAGGATCTCGGGTTTCGACAGGATCTTCACCGACGATGGTTTCACTGAAAGGATTGATCGTCCATGTATAAATGATCTTATAAGAGATATTTCGTACACGTTTACATTGCTCGACACGCACGGTAAACGTCCAAGAGGACGGTTTTCTCTAAGGGAGGTATAAGGTGCGTGTTGGAGGCTCGACATTTGTAAGTTGTGTTACGGTGCTCCCTCCTCAGCTGCGGTATCTTCAATTTACTGACGACGATGTTCCGAGCGATCTCTTCTAATCTACTGTCCACTTCTTTCTCATTCACTAGCCAGCTCACCACTGGCGTTGGTTTGCCTGTAATTAGAGGGAATTACTTGTAGTATTTATACCGGAGTATTTGTACTTGTACAGAGTTAGAAATTAGGAAGAATTACCTCCTCTAACTTCGCAAGACAGCTCGAACTCTACGCCAACCTGGAAGGGACCCGCGGTGTTCTCCACTTCCACCCCTGAACTGTCGTAAACCAGTAGTTGATGTGGCGGAACTGAAAACAATTCCAAACAGTATCGAAAATGAAGCGAAGCGATGAAGTGAAAATTCCACAAAAGGGCCAATTGAGGTTCCAGAAGAAGATCTAAAAAATATGTACCTATTACTGTGAGATTAACTTGAAAATTCTTCGTAGGCGAATTCTTGAAGTCCACCCGACACCGATAGATTCCCTCGTCGTCCAGCTGAACCGCCTCCAGGGTAAGAGCGGCTGGCTTCGTCACGGTCACGAAATAAGCCCTTGGCCCAACGACGTTGCTGTCCGACCAGTTCAGAGCTTTGTTGAACGCCCTGCCCCGCACGTCGAAACTGAAACAATTCCCATCGTTTTAACATCGTAAAACGCAGAGTTGAGCTGTCTGCGGGAGGTCAGCAGCTGAGGGATCTATTTCTTTTTATTCCTATAAATCTGGAATTTTTATTCTTTCGTCGGAGTACAATTTTTTTTAGCGAAATTGTTACCTGTAAATTGGTTGAACAGCATCGTCGCGAAACCAAAGCACCATGTATACGCGATCCTCGCGCGTGGACGGTTCAATGTCACAAGGCAATCTAGCGGTGCGTCCAAGAACGGCGCTGACTTCGAAAGTTGCGACTGGAAATCAAAAATCGCAGCTGTAAAGAGAGCAGTCCAGCCGAGATTGTCCGATTCGAGTCAAGAATACGTTTTCCAGAGTCAGCTGCTATTGCAAGACGTGGATTAAACCAAATATGTCGATATCTATTTAAATAGAGATTACGTGTGCTAGGTCAGTCGCGAGTCCGACTAATATAGAATGTATACAAGCTACTTGGGTTCTAATATTCTCGATAACTATCTGTGACGAATGCCAATAATGCTTCCAATCGTTTTGCATTTGCTATTTATCGATCCCTATCATTATTTGCCGATACTTACTTCTCGAGCCTGCTTTGCATTGTGACATACATAAATTCCCATTACTCTCTGCTACAAAATTATTCATTTCTCAACGTACAAGTATTCGGATCAAGGGCTTATGATTTTGATTAAGAAATGTAAGAAACAGAGTTCCAGCGTTACTCAGATTTTTGTACAATCTATAGAATCTACTGTATCCGTGTTTATGCTGGATTTTTACATAACGTCCTGTCATTAATTAAAAGCTGCCAGTGCAATAATAGAAACAAGTGTTCGAGCCTAGCATTGCTCGAAGCGAATATCAATAATGCGCGTTTGAACGGTCGCATTCGGCGCGCTATCTTCCGTGTGGCACGCGTTCGCATTCACTCAAGTAGATACGGTCTGTGCTTGGTCGGACATGCGTCTGGATAGTATAGTCGCATACTAGATGTAATATAACGCGTGCACTTCACGCAATCGCACGTAATGTCCATTGACTCGTTCGCTATGTCTGACTCGCTCGAGTAGATTTAGCCTATGCATGGTCAGACACGCGTCCTGGCTACTGTATGTATTTTATGTATTTCATTTAAAATGGAAAGATCCATAAGTTTTGCTTTTTGGAAAACCGATTGTAAGTAAGTAGGATGAAGTCGTATTTATCCTATTATCTTCGTCAGAGTACACAAAGTAAACTTTTCAAGCGCACCACTACTTGTATCGTTAATCGAGTTAATAGATTCTTGACGATTCCAGAGATGGAAATTTCCGAGGAGAGATCATCGAGAAGCTAGAACTAACTAAGAATTATTTAAGGGCTGCTTGTCTCAAGAAGGTCTTGTGAACTTTGGCAAGGTGGATAATAGACATCGAGACTTTCACGCTGGGATTGAAAATTGTTCGCGAGAAAAAGGAAAAGAAAGTTCTATTTTCGAAGTTAATAGTTTCCTTTCTCAGCATAAAAGAACGATTCGGCCTGAATTCTTTATCAACATGCTTTCCAATCCTCGATCCTCTTTCATTTTATTCAAACCCACCCTGTGTATTAACAAAGCTTCAAGTTTACTTCCCTTTCGTCTTTCACACGATGTAATATAATAATATGCGGTATAATACAAAAAGAGAACGACTGATGACGAAGAACAGAGAAGACCAGAGGAGCCTCTGCATCCTTGAATAAAATTCCTCTCCCTAGAATTTCGACAGTCCACGCGTCCTTACTCGCTCCGATCCACATCCCTTTCGACCCCGATCTTCCCTTATCCGTCCAATCTGACCCTAACGAGATATCCGACCTCTGGAAAGCTCTCGCGACAACGTACCTAAGTCATCGTCCTTGTCCCAGTTGCCGGTGGCGTTCACGTAGACGACCACGGCGAGTATGTAACCGCTGATGACGAGCTTGACGGCGACATCGGCGAGCGCTCCTATTGCCATCCCAAAGGGGAACAGTCTGAGGGGTGACTTGGTTAGTTTCAAATCCACTCCTCGCATAATGTCACCCCACGCCGGCCTGTCCTGTGGCTCTCCTTTATTATCATTCCACGTCGAGAGGTAGACGGCCTCCACCCCACCTCCTCCTTCGCCTCGTCCTCGTGCGGTGTCCTCCGAGCGTAGGATAACCCCGACGAGGGGCAGGGGACAGGGCACAGGACACGCTCACCGATTAATTCTGCTGGTGCGATTAAACTGCCGTTCGCCTCTCGTTCCCGGCGTGCATCGAGGATCCTTCGCGCTTGCAAACACCCCTTACCCCTTTCTCTCTTCTTTGGCTCGTAGAAAAACACGTCCAGCTTCGATCGCGACTCGAATCCGCTACTTACATCGACGTAGGAGGCCGGAGAACACGGCTGCACGAAGGGTAGCCACCCTGTTCCCAGTTAGTGGGTCGGTGTATATAAACGTTTCTCAAAAATTATTGTCGTCCCGGCAGCGCCGGCTCTCGTTAACTCGCCACACCGCGCTTCGACAATGGCGATAACGTCGAGGACACGCAGAGAGTGCCTCGCAGGGGTTGGTAGGAATCTGTCTATGGGCTACCGTGCTTTCTCGTTCCGTCCGACAACTCCGTGTCTCCTCGAGGCCGTCACCTTACGCTACACCCCCCCGTTCCTTCCTTTCCTCGTTCCTTCGAAGGCCTCGACAGCTTCCGTTCGATCTTCGCGGAGGCATTCAACGCATACACACGTACGTACACGCGCGCACATCCACGCACTCGGAGGAACCGTTTCACTGGATCACCTTCTCGCGACCGTGGCTATCGCGACTTTACGGTCAGGCTGGCAGGAAGGTTCCCGTGTTTAGGCGAACACGAGGCTTCCGTCGGCATTTGGAGCAACGTCGAGGGAGCGCTCGACGTCGGAGCCGACCAGCGGACGTTTCACGCGAACACCGCGTCGTTCTAATGGACACACGCTTTCCTGCAGGCGTCGCTAACCCGACGACGATGAGCGCCCGATCGATTTTCGCGAAGTCAGTCTGATCTCGCTTCGTGTTTCGACGCTCTCGATTCCCAGCGCGATATATAGGCCCCCGCGAGCGGCGTCAAGAGCGTGCTCGGCTCGACGCGACCCGCACACAGCCGAACATGGACAAACCCTCACCAATCACCGCGACCTCCTCTGCCGTTTTATGCTCGTCGATGGTCGTTGTTAGGTGGCGCGAGACGCGTACGGTTCATCGAGAACTTTGCAACCGTTTACCCCTAACTACCCCCTATCAGTCGTTCGCTTAATCGGGAATTTCGTTTAATCTTTACGGTTCCAAGGGTGGATGGACTTTGTGGTTTTCTTAAACCACTCGAAGGGGCGAGCGTTAGGCGCCACTGGGGGGTTGGCGCGACAGTTTGAGTTCTAACGATGTTCGTTGTAGACTTTGTTGATCTTTGACGGCGAGTTGGGTCCTTGGACGGGTTCCTGAGTTGTTGATGGATGTTTTTAGGAAGTGGAAGATGGTATATCTGGAAACAGAAATAGATTTTTGGATCGTTTCGGGACTCTGGAAATTTAAGATTTGAAGTGGAGTGATTGAAGCAACACTGAGACCTGTATCGAATGTTTATATCTTGCAATGTATATGCATCACGTTTTTCGTGTTCTATAATTTGATAATTAGCGGCTGATTCAACATGACCGAATCTATTCTTCTTCCAATCTATTCTTCTCTGCTGCAGTTTCTTGCACTACCCCTCGCCACAGCTGGCACCATTGTTAAGCGCGATACAGTTCCTAGAATATAAATTTGAAATGGAGTCTGTTTTGTGAATGGAATGACAGAGATTTTAATCAGCCAAGCAGAATAACTTGATTTTAAAGCTTCTTGACATGGTTTCTCATCAACTAATGAACTCAATGCCTTTAAATGATACCTGCATCTTCTATTTATATATCTCTCTTCGTCGTTGCTACGAGAATAACTAAAATATCTATAATCTTCATTCGGGTTAATCTAGAAAATCTAGAATACAAAAGCTTCAATTAAAACAGAAATAAAGCTAAAAATATGTACGTTCTCGTCTCTGTTGCGCTTCCTTCGTCAGATCTCCTGAGGCACGGTGCTTCTAGTCATCGAGTTCCTGTTTACAATTATGACGTCGCGTGAATGAAAAAAAAAAGAAAAAAAAAAAAAAAAAGAAAAACAGTATTCTGAAATGTTTCCAAGGGTAATCCTCTCTCATCCCTTCGGGATCGTGTCCGGTAAAGTCACAAACTCTCTCCTGTTAATAATGACAGTATATTTGAAATAGTAATGTTTACAACATACAATTGCGACGTTACTACAGTTTTTTTTTTTTCTTATTTTTCGTTTAAGGTAATTGATAATGTCTCGCAAAGGTCACACGCACCACCACGTTCGATCCATCCTTGGCCATGTGTTACAGTGTTTCACCCTTTCTCTCCCTCTCTCGCGCTCTGCCTCTCACTCTCCCTCGCTTTCAAAATGCACGGATTTATTTGGGAGCCGGGATCACGGTGTCTAATCGCATACTAACGCGTTGAAAAATAAACGTGGCGAAAATGTACAATTAACGGATGTCCAGAGGCTGCAGTTTTCCTTTAAACTTTCTTTCTTTTTGTCTTCTCTTTATCTTTTATTCTCTCGGGTGGATTGTGAATAGTTTCGGGGGGGGGGGGGC